AAAGGTCATTTATTTATAGAAAGAACAAAGATCAATCAATGATATATTGCCCGTTTTGTTCGATAACCTTTTCCTATCTTCCAGTGAGCTTCATAATTCCTCGTTCATAGAAGGACCTCTCTTTATTTGCGAAAAACTGAACAAAGTGCTGATTTACAGACTCATTTGAATTGAACATTATACCACTCAAGGAGTTTTGAACAGAGTGAAACAAGTGGAAGTCTGACGGTGCAAGGTCAGGTGAGTATGGTGGATGTGACAACACATCCCATCCAAGCTCCAATAATTTTTGACGGGTGATCAAACTTGTGTGTGGTCTCACTCTGTCGCGATGGAACACAAGTCCTTTATAATTAACAAGTTCTGGACATTTCTGGATGATGGATTCATTCAAACTGTCCAATTGCCAACAGTACACATTCGAATTGATTGTTTGGTTCCTTGGAAGGAGCTTGAAAAACACAACACCTTTAAAATCCCACCACACTGAGAGCATAACCTTCCTCTGATGAATGTCTGCTTTCGATGTCATTTGAGGCAAATCATCACATGGGACCAAGACCATTTGCGCCATCACATGGTTGTAAACAATCCACTTCTCATCACCAGTTATCAGTCGCTTCAAAAAAGGATAGTTTTCCTCATGTTTAATGAGCATATTGCAGTGTTTATATGTTGTCAAATGAACTTCTTTGAGTTCATGCAGAACCCAAATATCGATCTTACTTACATATCCCAGCTTCTTCAGGTGGTCATGAATGCTTGAATGATGGATGTTCAATGTTTCTGCAGTCTCTCAAGTTGTGTAATGTGGGTTTGACTCAATCAATGCCTTTATTTTGTCGTCATCAACCTCGGTGGGCCTCCCTGACTGAGGAACGTCATTGAGATCAAAATCACCAGCACGGAATTTCGTAAACCATCGTTGGCATTGACGTTCTTGTAGAGCATTGTCACCGTAAACTTCATGCAACTTTTCACAAGCTTGACGCACATTCTTCCCTTTATGGAAGGAAAACAGTAAAATATGGCAAAAATGCACAGTTTGGGCTTCCATCTTCAACTTGTTGTAAAATATCCAAAACTCAACCAAATCGCTCAATTTTTTTTTAGAATGAAGCTAGAACTGTCAGCTGTCAAATGACATAGCAATAACATAAATGCGAATGACTCTAGTACTTCCAAAAATGAACTAGTGCAATCTGTTGCAAAAATGCGTCATGACTTTTTAAACAACCCAATATCTTCCAGAATTGTGAGAAAATAAATTTCTGTTGTTGAAATCCCTCAGTCTGTGGTACTTTGTTATGCAGCTCTATCAAACTAAGGCAAACACCTACGTGTAGTCTTGCCTTGTGACTTATGCTTCCTCACAGCATGGCAGATAGGTCCCAAGGAGACGTGGTAGAAGCAATATCACCTGCTATGACCTAGTTTCATAAATCAGGTGGGTCATTTCCTCTGTAGTTACAGCCCTGCTCAGATTCAAGGGGAGGGGACATAGACTCACCTTCTAATGGGATGATTATCAATGACATGTTGCAAGAAGAGCATGTAGAAGACAAGATCTTGTTGTGGCCATCTTGGAAAATACAGTTTGTCATACCAGGTTGGTAACTTTAGGGACTGAGGATAGTGTCACTAACCAACATAGGGATTACGGGAGGAAGAGGAGGTGGTCTGAGGTAGGCTAGATGATGACGTGAGATTTGAACAGGTTGGGTTGGTTGGCCAAGTCTGTGAACATTTGAGTGGACATAGCCAACCACTAGGAAGTTAAATATGTGAATCAGGAATATGTTCTGAGCTGAAACTGTCAATTTGGGAGCCATCAACATATTACAAACCAGAAACTGGGTACACCCATTGAGGCAGAGAAGATGGGGGTGGAGGGAATGTATCAGCTATTTATTGATGCATAATAAAGCATTCCAAATCTTAGTGGCTAAAAACAAGGATTTACTATTTTTCATGTTTCTATAGATTAGCTGGGTAGTTCCTCTTCTGGTTTTACCTGGCTCACTCATGTGGCTGCACTCATGTTAGCTGGGCAGCGAGCTGGAAGGTCCAAGACGGTCTTGCTTACATGTCTAGTAGTTGGTGCCAGCTGTCAGTAAGGGGCTGGGCTCAGCTGGAACAGCTGGAATGCTTGGACCTGTCTCTCTATGTGGTCTTTCATCTAGGCATCTTTACAGCATGATGGTCTCCAGGCAGCATTCTAAGTGGGCAAACCCCAATGCACAAAACTTAGCAAGCACTTTTGCTAATACCTCATTGGCCAAAGAAAGTCACATGGCCAAACCCAAAGTCAAAGTGGGATGCCTTACCAAGAGGCATGATTCACTGGCAGCTATTACTGTAAAAATACACTACAGGAAGGAACACCAGGTGGGCCTCCATTCATTTAAGAGTTAGGCAGAGAAGAAACCAAAGATGGAAAACCAGAAGAACCAGAGAAGGACTAGAAGAATGCAGTGCTAAGGAATCAAAACGGGAATGACTTCCACTGGGAAAGGGCCAAGCCAGCACTTGAATCACCTTGAGAGTGAATGTCTCACCCTTTTCCCAGCCTGAAACCATCCTCTGGATTTGGCAACCCAGAGGCCAGTTTCTTTAACATCCCAACATTAATTTCAGTAGTCACAAAAAATCTTAAGCACCGGGCCAGCCGAGTGGCGCATTGGTTAAGAGATGGCTTGGGACGCCAGCTCTGAGCAGCAGGGCCCTGGTTCAGATCCCACAAGGGCCAGTGACACTGCCCTCTACAGCTAAGATGGTGAACAACAGCTGGACCTGGGCTGCCGTGAGTCACCGGCAACGGCGTAGGCCGCAGCCCCTGCTGCAGTGGGCTGCCATAAGCTACCATCAGTGGCCGGCAGCTGGCATGAGCTGCCAAGAGTCGGCATGAGCTGCCAAGAGCCACCGTGAGCAGCGGTCCAGAGGCTGGCGACAGATCTGCCTCATTCCGGAAGAGCGCAATGATAATACCAACTTGGGCCAGTGAAGCGACATCCTCCACAACTAGACTGAAGAACAAAAGGACAGCAACTTGTCTGTTCCCCTTCCCTGATTCCCCAACACTGTTCCCCTTCCCCAATTCCCCAATAAAATCTTAAAAAAAAAAATCTTACGCACCAAATACACTCTGTGAAAGCAATTGTGCAAGTCAAACCAAAACAGTCTAAATTTGCAAACTTTATGATGGCTTGGCTTGATTAAATGGAAAACCCACAGTGTTTTCAAATGTTTTTGACCAAGACCCACAGTAAGAAATACCTTCACATCGAGATCCAACGCATGCACACACACACACACACACACACACACACATGCATACATGCACACATGTACAGTCATGGCCAGAATGAAAATTTCCTGAAACACAGAAAAGATAATAGTAACTTACCCTTATTATGTACGAAGATCTGTGCCATTCTCTAGTCAACTTTTTGTTTTTTAAATGCTAGTCATACCCTGCTACATTGATTTCACTATGCACGCATCCGTCGTGGCCTACAGATTAAAAAATACTGACTTGACCATCCAGAGTAGAAGTCAGAAAACTGGCTGATGCCTGCCTTTAGCCTTGTTTGTTTGGTTTCACCTATTGGTTGTTCATTTAAAAATTGAATTTTATGTCTTCAGGAAGGCCTCCCTTCTCCTGTACCATTTCCGACTGTCTGATACCCAACTGCTTCACACATTTCTGTTACTTGCCTGGTCCCTGAACACATTTCTGTTTGGGCCTTTTAGATCTCTAGATTCTAAAGGAATAGATGTATGCATTTACGCATTCCATAAATATTGAATGTGTGTCTCGCACATGCCTGTCACATTGCAGGCACTGGGGATACAGCAGAACAGGCAAAAATCACTACCTTCATGGAGCTGAGGTTCTAGAAGAGGGAGACAGGCCAGTTAAAAAAAGTAAATATAGTCTGTATTCGAGGGTAATACATTCTTTAATGAAAATAAAATAGGAAGGGGATCAGCGTGCTCTAAGAGCTACCAGCTTGCAGGCTTCACACCTTTTTGTGGAAATGAGGGAGCCTAACAGAGAAGGGCTGAGAGTGTGAAGGAGCACAACCAGAGTTTTCCCTCAAAAAGAGAGTTCCCCTCGCCTGCCCCAGCAGGTAGACCTGACCCATCACATCTGCAAAGTACTCTGCCAAAGGGCAAAGCACCAGTAACTTTAACCTAGAAAATTTCAAAACCGGTCAGCCATTGCGGGATATGGTCACTGGCACATTGGCCCTGGGATGGGAAGCCCTTTGAATGTACTTCAGACTGTCCCCCAATTCGGCCTTCACTGTCCCCATCACCAGCTCTCCCGCGGAATAAGGGGCCCCCTCATTAGCTCTGCACACATGACCCCTCTCCACCGTACTCCTGGTGACTGCGCCTGCCTTATCTCTGCCTCTCCTCCCTCACATTTTCCGCTCCAACAAAGCCAAACATAGCACGGTGGAGGCTTTCACGCTTCTGTGCCTTTGGACACGCTGTTCCTTCTGCCTGGAAGGTCCCTGCCCCACTCCTCAGCGAGCTTCCATTCATCCTTTAGAACCCAATCTGGATGTCCCCTCCTCCAGGAAACCCCTTTGGACCCCTCGCTCCAATTTTGTCCCCAGCACCCCTCTCTGTCTTGCTTCTCTGCACTGTAATTACTGGTTTCTCCAAATCTCTCCCTTTCCAGACTCGGGCCTCCTCCAGCGCTAGAGTTGGGGTGGCTGCTCGCTTTGCACCCCAGAGCGCTCAGTCCCGAGCTCTGAGTGACAGAGCTTTCACCTAGGCGCAGGCTGGCTCGAAAGCCCCCATTTCTGCCCTCCGCCTCCCCAGTGGCCCCGCAGGGGCCTGCACTCGCGCATTTCCCGTGCACCGGGTCGACCCCTCGCGCGGCCGCCCAGCCCCTGACATCAGCAGCCGGCAGCGCCGGGCGGAGCGCAACTACAAGTCCCGGCACGCCCCGCCGCGGCCGCGCATGCCCAGCGGGCCAGCGTTTGAGTGGCAAGTTGTTTGTTACAGCGAACACCAGCTGCTCTCCGCGCTGTGCGCCGCCGCTCCGCCAGCGCTGCAGCCCTAGCCCGCCGCCCGCGGCCCCTCGCGGCTTGGCGGGCCTCCCCTTTGTCCGCCCGGGCCCGCCCGTCGCCGAGCTCCCGGTCCCCGGGCTGGCTGCCCGCGGCGCTCGGTGCCGGCTGGGCGCGCAGGGGGCGGGGGCCGCTGCTCGCCCCCCGCCGATGAGCCGCCGCGGAGCGCGGGCGGACGATGGAACTCCACATCCTGGAGCACCGGCTGCAAGTTGCCAGCGTCGCCAAGGAGAGTATTCCGCTCTTCACCTACGGACTGATCAAACTTGCCTTCCTGTCCTCCAAGACCAGGTGAGAGCGCGGGGACGCGGCGCCGGCCAGGGAGAGACAAAGAGGCGCACCCGGGCGGCTGTCCTCGCCGCCGCCGCTCGAAAAACAACTTCGAGCCCCGGGGAGCGCCCCCGCCTCGCTTCTCCCCTTGTTTTTGACAAAGCCACCCAAACTGCCCTCAAACGGGGTCCTTCCACCCCAATCTCCCCAGGTGCACCCCCGCCGCTGTCTCCCCCCATCTCAGCCCTCTCCCTCCCGGCCCCTCCCCGAGATCCGGAGGGTCTGGGAGGCTGCAGTGACGAATCCGTGAATGAATGAACGAACGAATGAATGAATGAAAAACAGGTGTGGGGACGCGGCGGTGGAAAAAACAAACTACCACCCCCCATCCCCCAATCCCTCGGTTGGGCCGGCCCGCGTCGCCAGGGCGGAGGGGAGGGATTCTGCTGAGCGCGGCTACCCAGAGCAGAAAATCATAAAATCATTAGTGGCTATTTATCTCAAGGTGCTTCGAGGGTTGCGGACGGTGCGGGGGGCTGGGGGAGAGCAGACGAGGGGCTGCGGGTAAGGGTCGCTGTGGTTCTTAATCCTTGGGGTCTGGGAAAGTGGAGTGGGGGCTGTTTTGCCGAACCGTGGAAGGGGGAGGAGCAGGCTTGTTTATGGCTCTGCCTTGAGGCTGGGCTTGGATGCTGCAGGGGGAAAAATAGTTGAAGGCCTTGGGAGGTTGAAAAAAAAAAAAAAAAACAAGTTGGATTTTCCTAGTGCCAGGTCAGGTCTGACTTTGTGAGCCCTGGTGGGTGCTTGGATTAGGTATTGGGGGGGTTTTTTTGTGTTTTTTTTTTAAGGAGCCGGAGCCCAAGGAGTGAGTGCGAGCTAGCCTCTGTAACTTAAACCCCTTGTTTGTCCACCATTGTGACTGTTCAAAGGGATGAAGTTGTTGGTGGTTGGGTTTTTCAGAGGCTGGGGCGGAGGTGGTTCTCCCTCCCTGCGAAATGAATGAATAAGTTACAGGTCAAGGTTAACGTTAAAATGACGGGGCTCCTAAGCTGCCCCCTTGGGCGCTGAGCTCAGGGGAGCTCCGGGGATGCAGGGAAATAATTCAATCCGAGCCTTTTATCTGCCTGGTAAAGTTCTTGCCTGGAAATCTCACTTTAATGTGTGTGTCTGAGCTGGGAGCTCAGTCCAGCCATTGTTTGCAAGATGGAATGAGATCTGCCAGTGGCATCTTGTTTACTTTCTTCTCCGGCTGCTCGGTGGGGTATGGAAGGTTGAAATCCTTGTCTTTGCTGGGCCCTGGCTTCTTTGATTGTAAAGGTAATTATTAAACAGGTCATTTGAAAACAAAAGCCCACAGCTGTGATTCTGAATCTCCTTCCCTCCCCCCGCCCCACCCCTCACAGTCCCCCACAGCCTTCTCTGGCTGTTGACATCCACCATCCTGCATCTACCTGCTCTCTGCCCCCTACCCCTAGCCTGTCTTGAGTTCCAAGGCTGGAGTAAGAGAAAGCGGCCTTGTTTTTCCAACCCTTGGCCCTCAGCCCCAGGCAGCCCCCTGGCTGATTTCTCGGCTACCATTCAAACCAGGATGACTCAGGCTGCGGCTGTGCGGGGCCTGGGTGCTAGGAGGAGGGGGCATTGGGGGACTTCTTAGAAACGCTGGAAGGGGCCACTCCCTCTGCCCCTTTCCCTTTGTGGAGGGACTGGCCCTCTTCCAGCCCCACCCAAGGGTCCACTGTGGAGGACTCATAGATAGGCATGTCCTGGGGGTGAGCCCCTGCTGACCCACCTAACTATGGAAACCCTACGGTTCAGTGGGTCCCACTTCTCCCTCTCCTGCAAGAGGCAGCTGGTCTGAGGCCCAGGTGACCAGTCCAGTCTCAAGATGACTCAGAGGTCAAAGGTCATCTCCATGTCTCCAGGGTTTGGCTGTAGAAGGTGCTGAGTTCATTTGTCAAACGGCTGGAGGCTGCCTCGGGGGCACCCTGGGCCAGGACACTGGCTTCAGGTTGTGACTGCCCCCTCATTGCTCGCATGACTGTGGCAAGGTCCCTTTCCTTCTTTGGCTCCCACTTTGTCCTTCTGTAATGAAGATGGCACCGCTTGGCCCACTAGTTTTCACAGAGCTGCTGTGTGTGTAGCATGGAGTGATTGTGGAACTGGGCTTTTTAGCAAGTATAAAGCATAGTGGGGTGTGGATATATTGTTTAAGCTATTCTCAATAATAAGTCATCCAAGTAGAACTTTTGGTCCTCTTTGACTCCTCCATCAATACCTGCCCCCAAGTGATGACCCACAACCCTGTCATTTTTCCCACCCCACCCCCAACCTAAGTTCAGCCCCAAATAGTGCAGCATGCCCCCCAACCCTCCCCAGGGTATCTGTGCTGCCTATTTACTGCCCTCCCTGTAGGGCCAACTCCTTGCGTTGGCATTTGAGGCCTTTCCAGACCTGGACCCAGAATCCTCTTTAGCCACTCACTGGCTGGCAAACACTCGGGTGACCCACAATTTACTTATCTTTCCCTTCATGCCTCCTGCTTTAGTGCCACCATCTGTGCCTGGAACCCCCACCCCAGTAAATTCCTGTTCAACCCTCAAGATCTGGTGATACCACACCCCCAGCAGACTTAACCACTTTATCCCTCTTGTGTCCACCGGGTGGAGGCTTGGGGAGGAGTATAGCCTTGGTAATACCCGCTGTGTGTGCGGGGGTGCAGCTGGGTCCATGGGATGCTGAGATATGCTGCCCCTCCCTCTTCGAAGCCCAGGACCTGCTGGAAGAGAAGGACAGAAGTGATCACAATACAGCAGGTAGAGTGAAGGAAGGGCAGTCTAGTGGGGTCCGGAGAGGTGTTGGGGGACTGCCTGAGGGAGGCAGGTAGGCTTCCTGCAGGAGGTGGCATTGAATCTTAGGGCTTTAAAATAGGAATTAGGTGGGAAAGGGGATCCTGGTCCTAGATCCTGCATGTATACCACAGTACAGCTCTCTAAATTATGTTTTATACGTGATTTGCAAAGGACTCTGAGGCTGAAAGGTTACGTGACTTGGTCAAGGTCACACAGTAAGTGGTAGAGCAGGACTTGGATCTGCAGCTTTTTTGCTATTGCAGGTTGCAAATGATGCCCATATCCAGCCGTTACGTCCAGCCCTTTTATTTGCAGCCCACTGTTCTAAAGGCTTTAGGAGCACAGAGTGGCACCTGCAGGCTTTTTCTATCAGCCTTTGTGGGCCTTTTCTCTACCAGGAATGTTTGTCTCTCATCGCCTCCCATCTGGACTTTCTACTTCCTGACAGCCCAGCTCAGATACTCCCCCCACTGAACCTTTCATAACGTCTCACCTTTTGTCCATAAGAGCATATTGTTTGCTTGTCTTATTCTCCCAACCTAGATTATAAACTTTATGCTTAGGAAGCTTTTTGTGCATCTTTTTATCCACTCCCCGCCCCTCCCAGTACCAGAGATAATAGAGCCACTGTTTATATCACCATCACAAAGAAGTAAAGAGGTGACACTGGGTTTGGAAAAGTAAAGTGACTTGCTCAAGGTCACACAGCTGGGAAGAAACAGAATTGGGATTTGAACCGGGTCCTCTCTCCACTGTGCTTAGCACAGTGTTTTGTAAGCACTTAGTAACTGCCTGTTTGATGGATGTCCCACTCGTGCACAGTGACCCAGATTTCAGCCAGAGTCTCTTATGAGTGCCCTAGGGGCCGGAAGAGGCATGGCAGGCAGAATCACACCTGGAAAAGCAAGGCCCAGTGCCCCCTGCCCCTGCTGTCTGCCCCAACTCAGAGCAGCATCTGGGTGTGACCAGAATAGGGGACAGAAGGCCAGCTGAGTGCACTTATTCTAGGCATGAGGCTGGACAGCGAGACCCTGGGTGAGCAAAATGAAGGCTGTCTGCAGAGCTTTCCCTCTGCCCAATGATCACCAAGGTTCTGTGTAGCCTGGCTGAGGACCCACTGTATCCTTCTCTCCAGCCTCATCTCTCCTGGCTCCCAGCCATGCAGATCCACACACCCACACACGCCCTGTGGCGTCTTTAGCCTCATGCCTTTCTTCTCTCTGCCTGGAATGTTACTCTTTGCCCTACCTATCCACTTTGTCCACCTGCTCATTCTTTGATTCCGTGTTAGCCTCACCACCTCCAGGAAGTCTTCCCTGAGTGTACAGCTGAGCTTAGACCCTTCCTCTGGTATGATGGACTTAGTCTCAAGAAGATGAAATGTGATCCACCGTGGAACATCAGCAGGATGCTTTGGGTTACAAATAACAAAAAGCCATGACTTAGCTGGCCTAAACAGTAAGAAGTTTGGACTTTGTATGATAAGAGGTTATGAGTTGGGCTGCTCTAGGGTTGGTAACTTAAAGACTTAATGTTGTCATAAAAAACCCAGGTCTTCCTGTCTTTCTATTTGGCCATCCTTGGCATGACAGTGTGGCTCCCTCTGGAATGGCTGGAGCAGCCGCTGGCCTTATGGGCAGTAGGGAGGAAACCTAACCTATTGGAGGGGAAAAGCTGTTGTCTCCAAGTGTCTCTGAGAAAACCTTTCCAAGATCGTGCCCTGCTCCTGCACGGACTTCCTCATCTCACGGATCAGACTGGGTCACGTGAGCATGCTTGAACCAATCACATGCACGGAATGAGACCATGACAGACCAGTCAGGATTCACCACTGCAGCTGGGGCCCGTGGCCCCCGGGAAGTGGAGGCTAGTGCGGTTCTTCTGGGACTTGGATTTGCTCTCCACACCCTATAAGGCAAAACTGGGAACAGTTAATAGGTATACAGTAAAAACACCTGTGACAACTCCAACTTGGCTAGATTGTCCCCCTCTTACAGATGAGGAAACCAAGGAATTGAGTGCCCAAGGACACACGGAAGTGGCAGAGCTGGGATTTGAACCCAGGAAGTCTGGTTGTAGAACTTGCTTGATGACCACTAGGCCAGGCCTCAAAGCACACCAGTTTGGGCACGCATTCCCCAGGGGCCACTCAGCAGAGGTGTCTCACCCCTTCCT